CCATGTGAGCCTCAGCCCATGCCTGGTGTGCTGGGGCCATCGTCCTCTGGCCAGAGCATCCTGGTGTCTCTGAGGGACTCAGATGTGAGGCCGGTTGTGGCCAGGAATGACACTAAGGAGAGAGACAGTGCTGCCGGCCACGCTGCCCCCCAAGCAGGCCAGCCTCTGCCAGGAAGCAGCTCCTCATGCTGCCCAGCCCTGCCCACCAGAAGCTCTTGGGTGGGTCAGCTGTGTGCTGTGCTGCCTCATGCCCCAGGCAGCGGACACAGGTCACCTGGGTCCATGCCGAGCCAGGGAGGGGGGCCAAGTGAGCCAGGAGGGCTGCCCTCTCGACAGGTGTCACCATGTCCTCCTGTGAGAAACCTTCCCTGGGAGGTGGGGACAGGCCTTGGGGAGACAAGGACTCAGCATATGAGTGCACCCGTGGCCAGGAAGAGGCCACCACCCAGCACCCACAGGAGCCTGGTGGAAGCTGCCCAGCAACCATAAAGGCCACCCCGTGAAACTAATCCGTAGAAGTATCCCAAACATTGTAGCTGACCCCTTGACCCAGAGAGGGCAGGGAGGACAGCCTGGGGAAGGCTGAGGCCACAACCACCCAGCAGCCGCCACACCTCCACGGCCTGCTTAGCACAGATGGCCAGTGGCCCTGCTGGTCACCATGTGGGCCCCTGATCAGCATCCTGGGTGTGACCTGCCATGGAGCCCCTCACCTGACAGGGCTCTGCAGCTTCTCCTGCCACCTGCTTCTGTCCACCTCCCTCGTCCGTGGGCTTCATTCTTTGAACTGACCAGACAAGAAACCGGAGAGAAGTCACTGGACAGAGGCTGGGTCTGCTGCCTGACCGGAGAGCTGCGACCCAGAAGTCGGCCAGCACCGGGAGGAGCCCGACTTCACCTCCAAGTCTGGGTTCTGGGTGACGTCTAACAGGACATGGTGCTGATGCTTGGGTGTTCTGGAACCTTCCACACATTCTACATGGCTGGGAGCTGCTGCCTGATCTTCAGCCCAGGTCTGGGGTGTTCAAAGCGAGCTGCGAGCCCCTGGGCAGGATGGCCCAGGGTGCTGCTGTCCCTCCCTGGCCGCTGAACAGAGTGTGGATGGAGGAGCTGTTCAAAGACCAGAGCAGAGCCCCAGGGAAGGCGGCAGGCGCACCACTCACTGGGCACACGCCTGGCCCCTGACTCTCACAGAGCAGACTGCAGGCCCCTCCAGGCACTGTCTCTCTCCTTAGTGTCATTCCTGGCCACAGCTGGCCCCCTAGGGGACCAGGGCGCCTCTCCTGCCTCTTGGCCTCCTGTCCACAGCTCCTGCTGCAGCAACAGACCCCCAGCCTGGGGACTTGCAGACTGGACTTCACGGTCCTGGTGTCCCCAGGTAGGCAGGGCTGGCTCTTTCCAGGCCTCTCCTTGGCCTGTGGATGCCTCCTTGTCTGTCTGTCCTCATGTCCTCTGCACATAGGGACACCCGTCCTGCGGTATTCAGGGCCACCCTAGTGACCTTGTGTAACCTTAATCACTCTACAGCACCTGTGTGCAGAGTCCCGTTCTGAGGCCTCGGAGGCTGGGGCTTCCACTTGTGAATGTCACCTGATGTGACTGGACCACAAGGACACCGAGCTCCAGCGGGCCCCTCCCCTCCTCGCACACAAAGTCCATCCTCCGTGACTCTGTGGGGCTCTTGGCTCCAGGGTCTTGCGCATGCTGTCACCAGGACCTGCCTGCTCTGGGCCCCCTCCATCCCCCGCCGGCCCACGTGGGGTCAGATCTTGGCTCTTCCTGCTGACTGCTCCGTGCCTCGGGTGTGCCCTGAGGCCACAGCTCCATGCCACACATGTCCCCTCCTGACCCAGCAGGCTGGAGCACCAACCCTGAGCATTTCCTCACCATTCTGTTGATGACCTTTTGCTCTCCTAGGGTGGACACAGGGAAGATGGTCATCAGTGACAGTGGCAAGACCAAGCAATGGTTGGGGCCAGGAGGCGGCTCCTCTCCAGGAAGGGAGAGAGGCCAGGCGGGGTCACGCGCAGCAGGCAGTGAGGCGGCCTCATCAGCGGCAGCTGACCAGCCGAGCAGCTGAGCAGTGCTGGGGGCCCATGCACCTTCCTGAGCTGCAGGAAAGCTGGTGTGCCCTCTGAGGGGTCCCTGAGACCACCCTAGCTCCCTGGCTTGCTGAGACAGAGCTGGGAGATGGGAGAGGGCACAGGAGGCAGCTCCTCATGCTGCCCAGTCCTGCCCACCAGAGCAGAGGTGGGAGGTGCCCTCCGTCCAGGGAACCAGCAGGACCTTTCCCAGCGTCTCTCACACAGTAGGTCCATGAACCCCAGCCACAGGCGAGGCTGGGACCCACATCCTGCCCCATGGGACAGAACTGGAGCTGGGAGCCCAAGGCAGGGATCTGATTCCCCGGGAGCAGACCCCTCCTGCAGTCTGTGGCACTCTGGGGAACACTGGTGGCCCACAAGGTCAGACCGGCCTGGGGGCCTGACGCAGATGGGGAGGAGAGCTTCCAGCTGTGACGCCCAGCTCTGTAAGAGCCAGCTGTGTCCACGGCAGGCCTCTTCCTCAGCTGTGGCTGGCCACAGGCGGCCGTGCCCTCCCTGGGTCTGAACCTGGCCCGGCACCCAGCGGTTTGGTAAGCACCTTGGTCCAGCACCCCACTCACACGCTGCGCTGAGTCAGCGCCAGGCCTTCGGAGGGGTGAGCAGCGGGGGCCAAGGTGCAGCTCAGGGTGCAGGTGGCCGCCCTGGGAGCTCCTGGGAGAGCCCGGCTGCTGGTGCTCGACGGGCGGCAGCTCACAGGTGTCCAAAGCAAAGGTGCCACAGCTGCCCAACTCAAGGTTCCTTCCTGGGGTTGCAGTAACCAGCGGCCACATGCTGGCCACCCAGCCGGACGTCCCCAGCTCTGGAGGACAGAAGTCCAAGGGCAGGCTATGGGGCAGCAGTGCCCTCAGACACTTCGGGGAGCACCCTCCTGCCTCGTGCAGCTCTTGAGCTGCCTCGCCCTCTCTGCCTGGTCCCCACGCAGCAGGCACTCAGGGTGTCCACTTGTGTGTCCAGATATCTCTTGTCTTATAGGGACACCAACCACAGGGTCAGAATGACCTACTTCACCTGATCACAGCTGCAGAGACCTGAGTGTGGGTCACACGGCACCTGGGTCAGCACAGGGACTGGGGTTGTGCTGGAACCATGGTGAGCAGGCGGCAGATGGATCAAGCCCCGTCTGAGCCTGCCCAGGTGGCCGGGGAGCCCTGGTCCGTCCCCGCCCTGCTGCTGTCCCCAGGACCCAGGATCCAATCAGCTTGTGGCCTGGGGCAACACCTTCCCCTGGTTGCAACACTGGGCTCCAGCTGTGCCAAGGCAGGGAAGGTCACCCTCTGCCCTGGCCCTTAGGGCCTGGGCTCCCTTTGCCTCCCACATGCCACGTCGGGCACACAGACCTGCAGAGAGGGGTGTCCTGTGGGGAGGAGGCAGAGGTAAACAGATGTGTGACTCTTGCCCGTGGCCCGAGGGACGTGCCCTTGACAGGAGGGAGGCCATCAAGGACGTGCAAGGGCATCCAGACATTAGGGACGACTCCTACAGGGCCCAGCACCCAGTTCAGGGGCCCGAGGTGAAAGCAGCAGGCAGGGGCTGTGCCAGAGGCACAGAGGGGACAGAGCCCAGGAGGCCCCAGGAGCTAGGACAGCTCTGGGAAGGGGCTTGGGGACAAGGGGGAGCCCCAGTGGAGCAGGCCCTGAGCCCTGGTGGGGTGTGCTGTCCCTGGGAGCCAGGCAGGAGGTTCCCGGGTGGGTGTGTCACCCAAGCCAAGGGGCACAGCAGTGGTCTGGGGTCAGCTTGGAACAGAGGAGTGGGTTGATCTGGGGCTTCAGCTGGTCAGTGCCATGGCTGGACAGGGCCTGGGGCTGGGCTGACCATACTATGACCCTGGCTGCCCACAGCCCCGTGTGCCTGACAAGATGGCCCAGCAATGACAGCTCTGCTAAACCAGGAGCCCGTCACCAGGGAGGGTCCAGTGTGTGGTCCCAGGTAGAAGCTGCTGCCTCCCTGGTCACTAGGAAAGAACAGGTTGGGTTTGGGGTATGTGAAGCCAGAGTTTCCCCTGGCTACTAAAGCCCAGGATGTCCCCTTCAAAGGGGTTCAGGTCCACCAACAGAGGGCAAAAAGCCTGATCAGGTGGCCACGGGCTCCTGAGCACCTTGAGAAATAGCTGCGCTGCCGGAGGGCACATCTGGGCTTCAGGTCTACACAGCTCACCGTGTGCTGGGGGCAGGGGCAGGGGCCTGGCGGACACACCCACCTTCCTGACTTCTCAGGACACCCACGGCTCTTCTGGCCCCCGGGTCTGCTCTCCTCTTCTGGGAGCCTGGCGTCGCACCCATTCTGTCCACTTGCTGGCCAGCGAGGAGAGGGTCCTGGGGTGAATCTGTTGTGGGTTATGAGGGTCTAGACTTGAGGCCCTCTGCTCTCATAGGATGCAGGAAACGCTGGCTTCCAGGAGGTCAGGGCTGAGTGTGTGAGGGAGCCTCCTTACCCACAGCCGAGGCACGTTGGCTGCAGGGAGCCCGTCCCCTCGCTGAGCCAGGTCAGGAAGCTACGGTCGGTGTGGGCCTATCTGCCCTCCAGGGGGTTTTCATGAATAAAGTTTTATTGGGACCCAGTTCATTTTAGTGGGGGAGTCACCAGGGACAGTAAGGCCTAAAGCCTAGAATGCTTGCTCTCTGACTCTTTAACGAAGACTTTTCATGACCCTGGAGGAGCAGGTCTGCTGGGCTGGCGTCCCTGGGCTGACGGGGAGGGGTCCCCCCACTCTCTGCTTCCCTTTGACTGCACTCCAGAGGCTCCCCTCCCCCCCACGGTTCAACAGCCCTGCTGTCCACCCTGACAGCAGGGCGAACATCGATAAGGGTTCAAATGACAATAAAAGGCACAGGGACAACAGGGGTGAGGCCCATCGACCGGCCTCACCTGTGTGTCCAGTGCAGGGAGAGTTGGGAAATGTTCCGAGTGCTGGCCAAGGCCAGAGCAGCCCTGGGGCCCTGACAGGTTGGTTGGGTGCAGACCATGGCCTCCCACCGGCTGCTTGTGCCTCCCCCCGAGGCCCTGCGCAGGCCCCTCTCCATCCCTGACCGGCTCCTGCTGACCCCAGGCCCCTCTAACCTGGCCCCTCGAGTGCTAGAGGCCGGGGGACTGCAGGCGATCGGGCACATGACTAAGGAGATGTACCAGGTGGGCCTCGGTGGGCAGCAGCTGGGCTTTGGTTTACAGGTGTGGTCAATTGGAAGAGGGCCCTGACCCAGGTGTCCACTGCCCAGGTCATGGATGAGATCAAGCAGGGCATCCAGTATGTGTTCCAGACCCACAACCCCATCACACTGGCTGTCAGCGGCTCGGGAAACTGTGCCCTGGAGGTGGCCCTGTTCAATCTCCTGGAGCCTGGGGACTCCTTCCTGGTGGGCACCAACGGCATGTGGGGGCAGCAGGCTCTGGAGATCGGGGAGCGCATAGGTAAGAAGAGGACGGGCAGCTGTGGCCCTCGGGACCCTCCCCAGTGCCTCCGTGGATGAAGCCTGCCAGAACCTCCGTCTGCCAAGCTCTGGCTATTGCCGGTCCCTGGACAAGGGCTCACCTGTGTGACCTTTCCGTCACCTCCTCCACCAACCCACTGTGTCCTCCAGCAGGCCACAGCCCCCGTTGGGCAGCCACAGGGTGACAGTCCCTATCTCCTGCCGCCCAGATTCTGACCCAGCTGTTTCTGGGACGTGGGGGTACAGCTGCAGGGAAGCCCCTGGGGCCCCGGGCATCCCCCTGGGACAGGACAGGGCTTCAGAGGTGGAACCCTCCCCCAGGTCTCAGAACAGCCTCTGTCTGGAGCCTGTGCCCCCGACGGGGCTCCTTCCCGGGACATAGGACTCAGAGACACGGGCAGGACGGGGCCTGCTTCCTGGCTACCAGCCCCCTCGGGCGAGGCCGCTGTGGCACTTCCTCATTCGGTCCCGCGTCCGACCCTCTGGGCTCTGTGTGGCCCCTCCCTGCAGAGCCCAGCTGCTCGCCCTGAGTGACCAGGCCTGGCTGGGCTCAGGATGGGCCACGCACGGAGCCCTGAAGAGTCTGACCCACAGCCCTGGAGCGCGGGGGGTGGGGGCTGTGCAGGAAGAGCCCTCCCAGTGAACAGGCTCCGCCCGCTCTGAGGGCCAGCCACCCAGGCACCAGGGTGATGGGGTCCTGCCCCCTGGGTCCACCGCTCCCCAGCACTGGCTCCTGCAGTGTTGTGGGGCTGCTCACTGCCCACTCTGCCCCTGGCCAGGAGCCCGTGTGCATCCCATGATCAAGGAGCCCGGAGGCCACTACACCCTGCAGGAGGTGGAAGAGGTACCAGGTGCCCGGGTCTGGGGTTGGAGGGGGCGGGCCCAGCAGGGCGGGGTCAGCCTGGGGAGCCAGGGCCTTCCGCTGGTCCTCAGCCCTTTCTACAGGAGGTCCCCCCCATGCCTGACCAGAGGGGGACATCTGATTCTGTCTGGCAGGGAAACTGAGTCAGGAGCCCTCTCCTGGGGCAGGACACAGGTCCTGTCCCTGATACTCAGGGTGCGACTGCTCCCCGTCAGGCCAGGCCAGTCCCAAACTACCAGGCTCTGGGTGCAGCTGACCGTCCCACGGCCCCACAGGAGGCTGGGGCACCATTTCTTGTCCCAAGTCCTCCTCTTGGAAACAGTCCCCTCCCAGAGCTGAGCCGCCCAGGCTCCCCTCAGCAGCCACTGACCGAGGGCGGAGGCCTGCCCACACCAGTCGCCAGACAGGCCTGCCCACGGCGGGAATGGGGTGTGCACTGGTGATCCGACCCTCCCTCACCAGCAGAAGTGCCTCCCCTCTCGGCTGGGCCCACAGCTGTCCCTCTGTCCCTCAGGGCCTGGCCCGGCACAAGCCAGTGCTGCTGTTCCTGACCCACAGCGAGTCGTCCACGGGTGTGATGCAGCCCCTGGACGGCTATGGGCAGCTCTGCCACAGGTGAGCCTCCCTGGTGGCCGAGCCGGGGCACCGCTGGAGCCTGGCTGGAGGCCGAGGGCCTTGGGTGGCCATTTCCCTGTCCCCAGCCCCACATTCCCTGCCTCTTCCCCATGGCCTTGTGTACAGGCCCCCTTTCAGGGGCCATGGGCTGACCCTGGTGCCATGGGCTGACCCTGGGCTGGCTAGTTTCTCAGAGGAGGACCTAGAGCTGGGGGCAGGGTAAGTGCCCCAAGGCTGGTTCCCCCCAGGGCCCTTCGCCCTGCAGGCCTCGTGGCTGGACCAGGTCCTGCCCCCATGGTGCCCCGAGATCCCAGTGCCCAAAACTGCGCCTGCCCTCCTCTTTGCCCCCAGGAAACAGGGGCAGAGCACTCTTGAGCCGGCGATGTGTCTGTGCGATTGACCACAGGGTGGAAGGCCAGAACTCCGCACGGCCAGGGAGGGCCAGCGGGACCCAGGGACAAGGGCGCTTATGTGGGCAGCCTCTTGGGGAGACTTGGGCCTTGTGCCTCCCGGTCACTGGGCCCTCAGGCTGAGGGCTCAGAGCCCAGGCTGCCCAGGCTGAGCCTCACACACAGTCTGGGTGGGGATCCAGACACACACATGGACACAGCCCCGTGCAGCGGGCTCCAAGGAACCCGGTGGGAAAAGAAGCCTCCAGGAGGCCGTGGCTCCGGTGGCAGACACCTCCTGTCTCCCTGCTGGCCTTCCAACGCTTCCCGGGCCCCTCTGGGTGCCCCGGGCAGGCGAGGCCTGAACACCCCGGGCCACTCCTGCTGCCCTCTGCTGCCCTCTGCGTTCACCCTCCTCCAGGCACCAGTGCCTGTTCCTGGTGGATTCTGTCGCCTCCCTGGGCGGGGTCCCCATCTACATGGACCAGCAAGGTAAGCGTGGGCCCCACAGCTGGTGAGTTCCAATGGTGAAGCCCTTGTGGAAGGTTCTATCTAACAGTGCCTGTAGGCCCACCCGAGTCCACACCTGGGCTCCGAGTCCTGTCTTCATAGGCTGGGCCAGCACCAACTCCTCACTGGCTGTGTAAGTTCAGTTCCTGTGACTATAACAAAATACCTGAGGCAGGATAGCCTATGAAGAAAAGAGGTTTGTTTAGCTTATGGTTGGAAGGCAGAAAGTCCAAACACCATAGCATAGTCTCTAGCACACCCACACCCCTGCATCACCTTAGGCATATGACATCATGACAGAGGGAGACATAGCAAGGCAGGAAGCCAGAGATCAGGGAGGAGCCAGACTCATTCCTTTATAGCTACTCTCTTTTATAACAACCGCAGGGTTGAGTCCTTCTGAGGGCAGCACCCAATGACCCAGTCACCTCCCCCAGGGCCTAGCCTCCCAATATCACCACATGGTGGACAGAGGGCCCAGCCCACCAACCCTGGGACCAACTGCATCACACTGTGGCAGCAGGGGAGCAGGTTAAATGAGCCTTCGGGAACCCAGGGCTTCTGCCTGCGGCCAGGAAGGAGCCTCTCCTCTGGGGGGGCCCCAGGGTGGCCCTGGGAGCTGCAGCAGAGCTGGTGGGAGGAGGGAAGGCCAGGTCTGTCCATCAGGTGCAGGGGCTGGGCTGGGCTGCAGGCTGGGTGTGGAAGGCTGTCCCTCCTGCACCGCGCCAGGCGTGGGCCTGAGGTCCTGGCTAGGACATCGCAGCACCAAGATCTGAACCCATGACCACCCCTCCCCAGCCTCCACACTGAGAGGAGTCAGTCCACCAGCCACAGGATGGGGCCTGGGAAGGGCAGGCAGGGCTACAGAGTGACCTGCCCTGGGTCGGGCAGGCCTGCCATGAGCTGTGTCCCCAGGCATTGACGTCTTGTACTCGGGCTCCCAGAAGGTCCTGAACTGCCCCCCAGGGACCTCCCTCATCTCCTTCAGCAACAAGGCCAAGTGAGTGTCCTGCAGACCCCCCCAGCCCATGGGCCCCAGGGAGGGAGACTCTTCCGGAGCTCCTGCCCCCCCCAGACCGGGGTCCTGAAGGGGCCTGCATTCACTGAAGGGGTGGTGGGGAGAGGGGAGGCACAGATGGGCCTCAAGTCCCCTGGGGACAGTCCTCCTGTGCAGGACGCAGGGCTGGGTTCTGAGGCTCCCAGGAGCACAGCAGGGACAAGGCCCCAGAGACCCAGCCCTTCCTCCACCCAGCCCGGCCTCCAGGAAGTGACCAGGAATGGCCCAGGACGGGCGCCAGCCACGCTCTTCACCCTGCAGTGTCCAGACCTTTAGTCAGGGCCAGGTCAGAGGGCTCGGGCAGGTTGACAGCCCAGCGGGCGGCCACCGTCCAGCAGCAGCCCGGCCAGCCAGGCACCACCCAGGACAGAGACAACCTGGGGCAAGGTCAGGGGTTCTGGGGGCCAGGGGAGGAGTCCAGGAGGAGCTGGTCTGAGAGTGGAGCTCAGAGAAAGGCCCTGCTGGAGGGGTCAGTCTGGAAAACAGACGTGTCCCAGGGCCCCAGAGTAGAGCGGCAGTCCCTGACGGAGCCCCGGCCGGGCAGGGTGCAGGGGCAAAGTGGGGGTCCAGGTGGGAGGGACAGCAGGGGCAGTGAGGGCTGCCAGCCCAGGAAAGGGTGCTTGGTGCTGGGCCTGGACCACACCCCAACCTGTAGCCCAAGCCCCACGGGAGTGGCCGCCGCCAGAGGGGCGGCCTCAGCCGTCCTGCCCTCTGCCATTTAAGTCAGGCTCAGAGCTGGCCAAGCAGCAGACCCCCTGTCTCTAAGTGCGTCACCTTCGGGGACCTGCAGGGTGAGCCAAGATGACCCTGCGGGAGCAGACAGAGGGAGGGACTGAGGGTGGAGGCGACTGGCCTCAGGTCCCCAGGTGACAGGGTCACGCCCACATGGGCCCAAGGGCCAGCAGGGCTGGGCTGCCTGAGGACCCCCTGACCCACCGGCCCACGTGGTCCCCCGGGGTCCTGCTCCCAGCCCATGACACAGGACAGGCCCAAAGAGCCAGGGCCAGAACACTGAGGCCGCTTCCTCCACAGGCAGAAGGTTGACGCTCGGAGGACGAAGCCCTTCTCCGTCTTCATGGACCTCAAGTGTCTGGCCAACTTCTGGGGCTGTGACGACAAGCCCAGGGCGTGAGCAGGGACGGGGACGGGGACAGGGACGGGGACGGGGATGGGGACGTGATCAGGGCAGGCACAGGGATGGGGACAGGGACGGGAGCCCAGGACGTGAGGACGGACACGGGGACGGGGACGGGAGCCCAGGACGTGAGGACGGACACGGGGACGGGGACGGGGACGGGAGCCCAGGACGTGAGGACGGGGACGGGGACGGGGACGGCTGGCCTGGCCCTCCCTGCACACCGGCCACCTCTCCCTCTTCTGATCTGAACCCCTGCCTTCTTGCCTGCGCCCAGGAGAGCCCCGGGACCGCCTGACCAGGTGTCCCTCGCCCTCGCTGGGCCCCTCTCACGCAGCCTGGAGACTCAGGCCCAGCAGAGGGGCCCCACACCCTCTCCATGTGCCCTGTCCCCCAGGCTCCCTGGACCTGGCCCAGCAATGGCGTCCCCTCCCCAGGCCCCAGTTCCTCTCCATCAGGAGAGGGGGAGCCAGGGGCTGCATGAGGTGACCTCAGCCTTAATCCCCAGGCCCCATGTGTCACGTATGGGCCAGGTCCCCATGGTACAGAGTGCAGGGCTGGCTTTGCAGGGACACAGGGCTGAAGGGACGCAGTGGGACGTAGCGGCTTCTTTTCTGCCCACCACTCTGCATGCTGGCCAGCTGCCCTCCACTTGGTCTATGGTCCTGAAACTGGACCATACCCCTGGCAAGGGGCTGCCCACGGTCAGCCACTGCCCATTCTCTCTCCGTGGGTCACACCGTGCTGTCTCCCAGGTACCATCACACCACGTCCGTCATCGGCTTGTACAGCCTGAGGGAGAGCCTGGCACTCATGGTGGAGCAGGTGAGGGGCAGGGGCAGGGGCTGGGTCCAGTGCAGGGGCCCCCCACCCTGAGGACAGGGCGCCTCCGGGAGGCCGCACTCCCTCGCCGCCTGGAGCTGCTCTGGGGAAACGGGAGGAGAGGGTCCTGGGCAGCTTTGCTGAGGGCCTGGCCTGCGGAGAAGGAGGTGCCCACAGGGTGGAGGCAGGGTCCTGTGCCAGAGCTGCCAGGCAGGGGAGGCCTGGGCTCAGGCCCCGAGGATGGTGGACCTGGGCAGGAGGTGCACAGGACGACAGAGCCCAGGGACATACAGGGACGTGGGCAGGTGCCACTCTTTCTGCCCTTCTGTTGTGAGCGAGCAGGGTCGGGTCCAGGGAGCAGAGCTGAGAGAGTTTGAAAGACAGGAGGACAGGGAGCAGGGGCGGTCACAGGGGCCAGGGGCAGTAACTGGTACCAGTGGGCCAGCAGCCACCCTGGTCCATCGTGTTGTCTCACAGAAGACCACAGGCTGAGAGACCACAGACCTCAGAAACCTGTTGGTGGCCTTGGAGGGCAGGAAGTCCAGCTACAGGTGCATCTGGTGAGGGCTTTGTGCTGCGTCAGAGCGTCTTAGGGACCCATGTGGGCCAAAGGGACAGCAAGGAGGGCCACCCAGCCCCTGGGCCCACCTCCTGAGGGCTCTGACTGCCGTGCTGGGCAGGTCTGCCTGTGAACTGGACCCCACACCACTGCAGGGCCACTATGTCCAGGGAGAGGCTGCCATTCCTGTGGGCACGTGCAGTGCCCAGAGCTGAGCTGGCCAGGCCAGGTGTCTGTGACCAGCATGTGGGTTTGTCTTGGGCCAAGTCCCCCTTTGGGACACTGGATGCCCAGTGCCCACTATCCTCTGAGGCCACTCCCTGCCACCAGCCCAGAGGCCAAGAGGGCCAGGAAGGGCCCCTGGACCGTGGCCACTGGTTCCTTTCCGTGCCCACACATAAAGCTGCGGCCTGAGGGCTGGCTTGGTGGCATGGTGACCCACAGCTGGGTGTCACCCACTATGTGTGTGCACCCAAGGGGACAGGGATGAGGTCTGAGCTGGGAGAGAAAAGAGGGCAGCAGGAGAAGGGTCCAGGAAAGGGGGCAGTCTCAGAGGAGTCTGGTGGTCTCAGGCTGTGGGCACGGGTGGGCAGGGAAGATGGCGGCCACGGTGGAGGGTGGAGGGTGGAGGGACGAGGTCTGGGGAAGGAGTCTCACTGGAGGTCACGGGTCATGGCACTGGAGGCCCAGGGTTGGAAAGCTGACCCCTCGCAGGAAGTGGGTCCTGGTTCTGATCCACTCCGTCCTGTGTGGCCAGGAGCCCCTTCCCTTGCTGGGCAGTCCCCTCCTCCCAGGGGCCCCAGGCACCCACCACACCCTGGTGCCCACCCCCCTGCCTTCCAGACGCAAGGGCAGGCCCGCCCCGAGTCTGCCAGGGCCCCAATCAGGGCTCCAGTAGCCCCCAAGGTGTGGGTCCCCATAGTCCCTCTCCCTCGGGGAGCGGCTCCTGCCCTGCTCTGCCTGAGTGTCCCGCCATCTCCCCCAGGGCCTGGAGAGCAGCTGGCAGCGGCACCGTGAAGCCTCCGCATACCTGCACGGGCGCCTGCAGGAGCTGGGCCTGCAGCTCTTTGTGAGGGACCCGGTGAGGAGGCCCGGGTTGACCATGGGTGGGGAGGGTCAGCTGAAGAGGCAGACTGCCCGAGCGACCGAGGCGAGAATTCGCGGTGGGAGGACATTCTGCCTTTGAGTGGAAATGGCTGCCCTGCCCTGGTGAAGGGACTGTGGGCCCTGGGAGCCTCAGAGGCTGGGACGCTGCCCAGGGAGCCCTTGCTCTCCTGGGCTTCTCTGGGCCCTGAGGCAGGGCAGTCAGGCCAGGGCAGGAGCCCCAGTGGAGCCACTGCGAAGGGCACACAGGTCATCTGGCTGCTTGCTGAGCCCAGCACTTCCTGCAGGCCATCCGGCTGCCCACGGTCACTGCTGTGGCGGTGCCCGCTGGCTATGACTGGAGAGACATCGTGAGCTATGTTCAAGACCACTTCAACATTGAGATCTCGGGCGGCCTCGGGCCCTCCATGGGGAAGGTCAGCGGTCTCTCTGGGCCAGGCCTGTTGCTCCGGGGCATTTCCCGCCCACCCCACCCTGGCCAGAGGTCACCGGGCACACCCTTTCCAATTCCTCTCAGAACGTCCTTGTCCTTCCAGCCCTCCAACTGGACCTTGCAGTCCAGCTGGAAATCCAGGCCCAGTCCAGCTGCTCTGCAGAGCCAGAATTGCTCAGTGACCTCCACTGAGTGCCACCCTGGTGCAGAGGGGAGAGGGCTGGCTTTGGCCTGGGTCTTTGGGGTCTTCATCTGTGTCCCCCCTGCATGCTGGGTGGGTGGTGACCATGGGTGAGCCCAGCCTGGCTCTGCCCAGGCCTCATTCAGGGCTGGGGATCCACAGACAGAGGCTGCCACATGCCCTGACCTGTGCCCACCAGGTGCTGCGGATCGGCCTGCTGGGCTGCAACGCCACCCGGAAGAGCGTGGATCTGGTGATCGAGGCCCTGAAGGAGGCTCTTCGGCACTGCCCTCGGAACAAGCTGTGATGCCCGCACAAAGCCCCTAGCACCTGGGGGGGCTGGGCTGAGGCAGGAGCCCACATACCACGCAAGTCACCAGGCCTGGGGACAGGACAGCTGCTGGCCCAGCCAGGCAGACAGTGGCCAGGAAGAGGGAGATGGGACTTTCAAAGGAGCCGCAGTCCCCGCAGGCGCTGACCTCTGGGAATAATCAATAAAGCACTGGTCAGCCATGGCCTCTGCTGTGTGGGGGGGGCCCTTCTGCTCCCCATACCACCCAAGTGGGGCCCTTTGAGGGTCACTCCTTGTCCTGGAGCCTGTGGGTAAGATCCTGGGGCTGGGGCCTGTCACCTCACTGTAGCCCCAGACATTACCCCCCAAAACACCCTCGCATGCCACCTCCAGGAGAACCTCAGGAAGCCCCTCCCAGGACACCCAAGTGCGCACAGTCAGACCCGTGCCCGTGGGGATCCAGGCCCTGCATCCTCGGCCACCAGCCCCAACTCTGCCCGCCTGAGCCCGCTGCTCCTCAGCTGGTTGGTCAGGCCTTTGGCCTCCACCCTCACGTCTAGGGGATTTCTGACCAGGCCAGCGGCTTGACCCCTCAGAGAAGCACAGGACAGCCACAGCCGTACCACATTCCCACAGGTGGGCCCACAGCACAGACGCAGCACTGTGCAGAAAGGGTGTGATGCTCTGTGCACACAGGAGGCCCTGAGCAGACAGAGCCTGCTGGCCCCAGGGTGCTCACAAAACCTGGAGGACCACACAGACGCCGTCACAGCACAGCCACGACGGGGGGAGCCTGGCAGCACAAGGACGGGGAGGTCTGGGGAGGGGGCTGGAGGGCCCAGGGGCCAGGAGGCGCAGGGCCGTGCGGTCATGTGGAGACTGTGGCCTTGGTCCGGAAAGCAGCCTCGCCTTGCCTTCTCCCAGAGGCAGACAGTTGGAGCTTAATTCGCGTTAGTGAGGGGAAGACCCAGGAGTCGCCCAGGGAAGGTCCCCTCCACTCTGACGCAGCCAGCCACCCTGCAGTCCATTTCTGGCCCCAGATCAGCTCCCTATGGGTGAGCTGCCTATTTTGATTGGTGGACACACGGCCTATTGTCACTGTCTGAGCCTGTCCCTGGCAGCTGGGACCTTCACAGTGTCACTGTGGGCTCAGTGCACGGTTGAGTGTGATGGGTTGGCGGCACGTCTCGGTGGGCTCCTTCTCCTGCCGAGGGTGGTCAGCTGGGCTGCTCCCAGTTTGGGGCTGCGAGCGAGGCCGTGGCAGGCCCCCTGGGCTGTGCGCTTTCACTTTTCCCTGGTGAACAGTGAGGACCAGGTTCAGGGCTGAGGGTGGTGTGACCGCCAGCGAGCGCACAGAAGAGCTGCGGGCTCCAGCGCTCGGCCACCTCCTGTCTGTTATGCAGTCGGGTCTGGCTGACAGTCACTTGCATCTTCTGGTGGCTGGTCCATCCAGTATCTTTTTGGGTGCTACTGGCCACTCTGACACCTTCCTCTGAGAAGTCTCCCATCAGTACCCTTCGTGATGTGTTGGCTTCTTCTGCTGTTGACCTGTGGTGGCTCTTTACTGCACTGCAGCTGTCACCACGGAGCTGCACCCAGCATCTCCTCTGACCCAGGGCTCACCAACTCGCTTTCCTAACAGCATCTCCAAAACCTGGGGCTTCCATCGTGGGGAAGGGCTTCCATCGTGGGGAAGGGCTTCCA